TGAAGGGATAGAAATAGAAGGAGCATCAGAAGAATGTCCATAATCAACACGAGTATTGCGACTGCGAGTAACTGGAAATCTCCTCTGTGGTATGATGTATACACCAGATGATGATTCAGAAGAGCTAGAATCAGCATCATATTCTTTCTGTATAGGAACACGTCTAGGTTTTGGTTTAGGCTTAGTTTCAACAGGTAAATCTGTATCTTCTTCAGGGATAGAAATAAATGGAAGAAGCATATTTCTGTGAAGGGTTCTGACAGGACCTTTTCGAGACTCAAGTTGTACTTTATATACAGGTTGGTCAGGAAATGGTATGTCAATGATAACAAAAGGGTCCTTCTCCCACTTATCTGCCAGCTTCTGTCGCCCTTGAAGATTGACTTTTCGGACCAAAACAATATCGCCTACAACCAATTTGTTCTCGCGAACTCTACGGTCATATTGCTTCTTGTTTTTGATCAGCCCGCTTCTTGGCAACATCACCAGCTAACCGATAAGCATATTGAAGGCGTTCCTTCAAACGAGAAACATAAGTAGTAGGAGAAAGATGTTCAGAGTTAGAAGGAAAAGTACCAAAGATAGGCATCAACAGAAAGACGGGGATGCCATCCAAACATAAGAAAGTGAGGAGAAAAACCTGTAGAAGAGTTCTTGGTGGCGTTATAAGCCTGAACAAGAGAAGGAACAAAATCTGCCCACTTAGATTTGTGATCTTCTGCCAGAGTACCTAACAGTCTGAGAAGGGTCCGATTAAATCGTTCAGCTGATGGATTTCCCATAGGGTGGAAAGGAGTGGTTCTTGTCTTTCGAACATTTGCAATCTTGCAAAGTTCCTTGATGACTCGACTTTCAAAATTCCGCCCCTGGTCAGAATGCAGCTGCTCTGGAAAAGAATAGTGGACAATAAAATGTTCATATAAGGCACGAGCAGTGGTAGTCGCCTTTTGATTACGGCAAGGAATAGCCTTGGCGTATCTGGTAAAATGGTCGGTAATGACCAAGACGTCCTCATACCCTCCTTTGGACTTCTCCAGCTTCAAGAAATCCATACACACAAGTTGCATGGGTCTTGAAGTCTGGATTGGAACCAATTCTGCAGCAGGTACTACCGGTGTCTTTCTGCAAATACAACTTTTGCAACCTGAAATGCGACTATTAAAATCTGCCTCCATGCCGGGCCAATAAAAACGTTGACGAGCTAACCATAGAGATTTATCACGTCCGGGATGGCTTACATTGTCATGAACACCATTAAAAGCTATATTCCTATGAGAATAAGGAATAACAAGTTGTTGTACTTCTTCTCCATCCAGAGTGGCGGTACGATAAAGAACACCATCTTTGATAGAAAGACGAGAGAAGTCACGAAGAAGAGATTTGACGTCTTTCGACATCTCCTCCCCCCTCGGACGAGAACCAGAACGTAGGATGGAAAGAACAGAAGATATATCAGTGTCTTTAGACTGTTCTACCGCCCAATCCACTGGTCTGACTGCAGCTTCAGAAGGAAAAGATTCCTCATTGGCCATATGAGGGACCTCATCTCCTGAGCAACATTCAGCAGAAGAAAGAGAAACAGAAGCAGCAAAGCACACTGCCTTGACAGCATCGCTGAAAAGTTGTGGTCGGCGAGATAGCCCATCACAATCTTGATTCTGTTTACCTGACTTATATATGATTTCAAAATCATAGGCAGACAAAGCAGCAATCCAACGATGACCTGTCGCGTCCAACTTAGCAGAGGACAGGACATAAGTTAAAGGGTTGTTGTCAGTAGAAACAAGAAATTGGTTGCCATAAAGATAGTCGTGAAACTTATCACAGACAGCCCATTTCAAAGCTAAAAATTCAAGTTTATGAGCAGGGTAATTACGTTCACTACGTCTTAAACCTCTGCTGGCATAAGCTATGACAAGAGCAGATAAATCTGGCTCTGACATGCTCTTGAAGTAACACGGCCCCTAATCCAGACCCACTCGCGTCGATATGGACTTTAAAGGGTTTACTGAAGTCAGCAAAAGCAAGAACAGGAGGAGAAGTAAGTTTTTCCTTAAGAATATCAAAAGAAGATTGCTGGGTATCACCCCATACCCATGTAGCAGTCTTTCTAGAACGTTTGGACTTAGATTTGGGAGAATTACCATGACCCTCAAGTAAGTCATTAAGGGGTTTGGGCCAACTTGGAATAATCCTTAATAAAATCTCCTGTAAAAAACCTGCAGTTCCAAAAAATGTCCTTAATTCAGCAATGTTCTTAGGGACTGGCCAAGAAAGAAATAGCAGAAGTTTTTCTCAGGATCAGTAGAAATACCATTCTCAGAGATAACATGCCCTAGATAAGAAACGGACGTTTTGAAAAAATTCACACTTAGAGCCTTTAAGTTTAAGACCATGAGAAGATAAACGTTGAAAAACATTTTCAAGCCTAACAATATGCTCCTCAAAAGTTTCAGAAAAGACCAAAATGTCATCAACAAAAACAAGACATTCACGCAAA